ACCCTGGCACCCTTGAGGAAATTTAAATATTCAAGATGGGCGCCATGAGGCATTTTCTGTTTTTTTTTATTGGGGTAAAATATGTGACTCGGTTTGAAGATCGTTTTTATAAGAATTCGACCCGCTGAATCCAATGAGCTTCGGTATTCCTCCTAAAAGTGACGGCTAATTTCGCTAGGGGGCAAAATTCAAAATGATGTCTTAATTTGGCAGGAAAATAAAGTTCCCTAAAAGGTTTGTAATATACTATTCAAAAAAAGTAGGGGATATTTGATTTTTAAGTGTTATTAAAGTCACCTAATGAAACTGACGAAGAAACAAATGACAAAATGAAATGAAGTTCACATTCATCGATTTATTCCAAATGATCGTTAGACTAAGTAAGGCACAGACTGACCATTATAAGGGTAAAATGATACCCGGGGTCAAACAGCAAAGTTACCACAGCATCACAACCAAGTCAGTAACGGGTAAATCCTCCTCTGTTTGCCAAACAAGCATTGATCCGACGTGGCATACTCCTAATGAGACGTCTAAGGTCATTTTGGTCCAGATTGTCCCATTCCTGTTGCAACGCAGCAGCAAGTTCTTGGACATTGGCAGGACGTTGTTGACGTTGACGTAACCTCTGTCCAAGCATGTCCCAGACATGCTCGATGGGGGAGAGGTCGGGACTCAGTGCTGGCCAAGGTAATGTGGTGATGTTCTGTTGTTGGAGGTAACCTGTAACGATCCTGGCCCTGTGACATCTTGCGTTGTCATCCTGAAAGATGAAACGGCGGCCATGACGTCGTGCGAACGGCACAACATGGACTGCCAAGATGTTGTCCCGGTAGTACTGGCCTGTAACACGCCCTGCAACAACATGTAAAGCCGTTCTTCCAGCAACAGTGATGCCTCCCCACACCATAACAGAACCACCCCCAAATCGATCATGTCTGATGACGTTAACGTCTTGGAAGCGCTCGTTTCGACGACGCCACACCCTCCTACGTCTGTCCAAAAAATCAACAGTGAACCTTGACTCATCTGAAAACATCACATTGCTCAGCGTCGATTATCCCAGTGTTGACGATCCCTACACCAACGACGTCTTGCCTGAATGTGATGATCTCTCAAACAAGGGATCACGCGAGGACGTCGGGCGCGAAGGTGACCCCTATGCAGTCGATTCCGAATCGTCTGGCCACTCACTCTCACACCAGTGTCTGTTTGAAGACGAGCGCTGTTCTGATTTGCTGTGATGACACGATTTCTCAAGGCCAAGGTACGGATAAATCGATCCTGGGCTTGAGTTGTCGCCCTTGGTCGACCTGAGCGTGGTCTGTCCTGTACAGATTGTGTATCACGGTATCTGGACCATAGCCTGCTTATGACAGACTGAGAAACATTCATCGTCCGCGCCACAACCGCCTGTGTTGTGCCGATCTGTAGCATGCCAAGGGCACGTAACCTTTCATTTTGGGTAAGCCGACGCATATCAAAATTTGTTTTCTGGTCACTAAAACAATTAAACTGATGTTTCCACCCTGGAATTCAATGCCACAATGACTGTAACATTCAAAGTCAGAGTCGTGCAAATCTTGGGTTGGACCCCCATGATGATCCCAAGCATCACCTGCATTCCATGCGGTAGCTATTGGTGCGTTTGGGCGTCACATGTAACTGGAAATGTTTCTTCTGTTAGGTTCTATAGTGACTTTTTTCGTAGTCATTTGCATATTTTAGTATTATGCCCCCAAAATCAAATATCCCCTACTTTTTTTGAATAGTATATATTGAAATATAAGTTTTCGATGTATTATATATCTTCAATATGTGTAGATTCAGAATCAGGATGATGCCAATCTGATATCCATGGGGATTTTAAGATATTCAAGATGGTCGTCATGAGGCATTTTCTGGTTATTTACTTTAATCTAAAGGGATAAAATTCGGGACAGATTCTCTCAGACCTCGGTATGAAGGTGGTTTCTGTAAGAATTTGACCCGCTGAATCTAATGAGCTTGTGTATTCCTCCTAAAAGTGACGGTTAATTCCGCTAGGGGGCCAAATTCACAATGGGGGCTCGTTTTTGAAGTAAACTCATAATGTTCCCTAATACCGTGTGTAATATATAGATAGAACTCAATGACCATTGAATACCGCTCGGGTTATTCAATGGTTCAAGAGAGTGTATCCTTGCGAAAGTATTCCACTACCATCTTGAGTTGAAAGCAAATATTTCTAATAGGTAACTGGGGCTTACATAGTTGTCTTGGGCAACCTCATGTATTTGTCTATCTCACTGGAATACTCGCAATCGGTAAAACAGTCCGATTCTTCAAATACCATCCGTGTCATGCAACGGTTATGACATTTGTCTTGTCAGTTATTTAGTCATTCATACGCGCCGGTAAATCTGGGGTTTTGTATCACGCTGACAAACATTTCCATCCCTTATTCCCCTGTGTTTTCTAGTAGAAAAGGCGACACATGGCCCTGTAATTTGTCTTCTTAGTCCTGTGATACATAAGCTTTTACATTACCGGTTCTATTTTCTTCCATGGTCTACTTAACATTTTGGCATTTTGTTGAATTTGGGAACCATATTGGCATTTCGCTCGGTCATAGCACATTTCGCCAATCAGATATGAATTCTGCGAACCCGAAAACCTATAGTTTAATAATACATTACTAATATCGTTATGTTTTGCCAAATATGGTCACCATTTTGAATATGAGCTCATTCTGGAATAATTTTTGTCGGAACATGTATTTATGTTTATAACTGAGTAACTGATACCGAAAACCTATAGTTTAATATATTGCACAGCTTTTTGGGGGACTTTATGAGCCCCCCCCCCTCCAATTGAGCCTCCATTTTGAATTGGGCCTCCTAGAGGAATTAGCCCTCTTTTTTTAGGAGGAATGCCCAAGTTCACTGGATTCAGCGGGTCAAATTCTTACAGAAAATCACCTTCATACCGAGGTCCGAGAGAATCTGTTCCTAATTTTATCCCACTAAATTAAAGTAAATAACCAGAAAATGCCTCATGACGCCCATCTTTTAATTTAATATTTTAATTTCCCCAAGCATTATCCGGATTCTGAAACTACAAATATTGAAGATATATATATAATACACCAAAAGCCTATATTTCAATATATTGCACACATTCTTAGGGAACTTTGTAAGTTTACTGCCAAAATAAGCCTCCATTATGAATTTGCCCCAGCTCACCCCACCCCCACCTCTAGTGGAATTAGTCATCACATATTTTACTCCACTAAATAACCAGGAAATGCCTCATGGCGGCCATATTGAATATTTTACTTTCCCCAAGGCAAGTTCCGGATTCTGAATCTACACATATTGAAGATATTAATCCACCAAAAACATTAGGTGGACTATATTTCCACGTCAAGGCATAAAATGGGGTTTGGCAACTGGACTATATGGATCCATATATACACGACAGAAATCTGCCTAGCCTAAACACCGTTAGTCTTAAAACTGGCATTGATAAAACTACAATAGTCAGAATACAGGAAGATTTGTAAATCATCCATATCAATAAAAACTTTAATGAGCACATAAAATGACCATGTCAAAGAAGTATACTTAAATTCAGTGTTTATTTACTTTTTCTCAGGGCGCCCCTTTATTCTAAATTTATGAAACATAATACAATAACATAATTTAAGTTTACTTTTAAAACCTAAAATATTTTTGTTTATTTGTAGATTCGTTACAACGAACGTTAGCCAATAAATGTAGTACTCGACCTGCCTGCTATGCAGTACATAATATTATTCTAGATAGTGATGATATAAACAGTGCTAGAAAGAGAAGAGGTAAATGTTTATTTTATCATTGAAATTAATTTGAAGTCAACCGATGTTTTGTCGGGAATCTGAACCAATCAATCTTATATAAATATGAACAAATTATTCAGCTGCCAGCAAGCATACATTTTATAGCAAGGGAGTGGGCGCAGCGGGAGAGTAAGAGGGGGTGGGGGTAAATTAGACTGCAATTTGATATATCTTGAAGACTTGCTATCCCTAGAGAAATACAGAAAGGTGTTTAATATTTCTGGGTTAATTATCAAAAATAATGCTGATTCGGACTGTTGTGAATATTGAAATTTCTCTGGAAAAAACACGTCAAGACCGATTTTATAGGACCTGGGAATCCGGGGGGGGGGGGGTCCAGTCGGCGGCATAAAATAAGGTGGATTAGCTAACCGTGTGTGGGGTGGGGTGGGGCACTTATTAACGTCAAATCTTCTTATGCTGTTTTTGACGAAAACGGTTTATTTATGCATGACCGCTAAATTCTCACATCTTTACACATGAGATGAGTCAAGTTATCTTGCTTTGCTTATTGGTACTATTACTTTAACTTATTCGTTGACTAGATGAAGCTAGAGAAACCTTCTACCAGAAAATGGAGGAACTGCAGTTCGCTAAAGATAGAAAGCTGCAAGTCGAAAACCAAATCATGAATGAATGGGCAAGTTAAAGAAAAGTTCTGAGATTGTTTTAAATTTAACATAAATTATCTGTCCTTATTAACAACGTTTTCATTATTAATAAGTAAGAGAGAGAGAGAGAGAGAGAGAGAGAGAGAGAGAGATCATTTCGGGACTAGCATATGGTTCAATTTTATTTCAAGAATTCGTTTGCGCGTAGGGATCTTTAGCAGTGGGAGGAAACTGGAGGACCCGGAGAAAACCCACGAGGTTGGACAGGCGACCCTACTCCTTGTCACGTACAACCGGGGAATCTATTAATAAGAAATATTAAAGATTAGAATGCACACGTAAATATTGGGGACTGGTTAATTTCTAGAGATTATCAATAATTAAATGGTAAATGTCACAATTCTTCAACAAATTATAATATTTGAAAGTCCATTTGTTACGATTAAAAAAAATCACCACGGAGATTTATAATCGAAACTATTCACATTTTCAATTTTGTGGCAATTGAATTTTATATTTAATTTATTGTAGTCTTTAGTAAACGACCACGTGTCCGCAACAAATGAAGAAAAGGAGAAAGTTTTAGAAGAATTAAACACTATTGATGATATTCGTCTTGATAGGATAACAAATGCCATTAATGGTAAGAACCATAACCTTTTTCCACTTTTGCTAAGAATTGAATAAGCGGTTGCCATGCAAGGCACACCCACATTTTGCAAGAGATGGACAAATTAAAAACGATTTTTCATACTATCAGTGGTCTTAATCCAGGAAGTAATGGTCCGATGAACGCAAGTATCGATAGGAACCCAGATATTTGGGATATAATCATACATTTTAAGTTTCATCAAAATCAGTTAAAATTTGTGACCTCTAGATGGTCCAAAACCTTTTAGTCTAGGTAAGATAGCCTAAGTGAGGCCAGTTGCTGCAATATAAATGCCGATCACGGTTTATGGTCGGCCTAGACGTATATTATCACCAAAAAAAAAAGAAAAAAAGTCCCAGTCCGAAATCCATGCCCAAATGGGTCAAATTGGCCAAAATCCAAAATGGCTGCCGATTTCCACCCAATTATCATAATATGATTGAGTTTGGTATCAAAATATACGTTTTTGGGGTAACTGAATCCATTTCCATACACACTTTTGTGATAATTGTTGTCGCTGAATCAATATTGGGGGTTATTCAAGATGGCGGACAGTTTTGGCTGGGAAATTCGAATTTTACATAAGCATCAAGTTCGGTGTCAAATTATACGTTTTCGAGGTGGGTGAATCCATTTTTGTACATATTTTAGCGATTAAGTGGCTTCCTTTGTCAATGTATGAGAAATTTCAATTAGGGATTTAGATTTCCGATTGGGGATTGGAGATTAATGATACTCCTACCTTAGACCTAATACAATGACATTCATCCAGTATTAACTAAATTTCATTTGGAGTGTCCCCCAGGTCACTGCGATAGCAGTGTAGGGGTATGTCAATGTATGGTATGTCATGTCTCACATAGGTGTCAAATCTTCAATCATGTGCCACAGAACTCAAATTTCCCGATCCTGCCCCCCCTCCCAAAGTTCCCTAACTTTGGTCTGCCTACCCTAGCACGCCCTTGGCTCATTGTCAAACTTAGTTATGACTTTACACCAAGTTTTACTCTTTCCTAAATTTTTCTGCCATTGAAATTGGTATCTCCGCTCATTATTGAACGTAGGCCAGGGATCTTAATCGGCTCATTATTGTCGGCCTCTTTCCGTCATTTTCCAAATGAAGGTGGGCAGTTCATTATCAAATGGTTCACTGCATATCTGACAAACAGGCGATACTGTATCAATTTGTGTTTCAACATATGAATCGTTTTGTGAAATAAATTCGCCACGTGTTTTAATAGATTTGGCCATCTTGTCTCAATTTTTTTTTCGAGGTTGGTGATCGAAATCGGACACACCCACGACGCTGCGTCCACAGTGGGCTGAGAGTGGCCCCTTTCGCCATGCTTGCTACGCTGCTTCCGTAGTAAGCAGTGGTTGGCCAGAGTGTCTAAATGAAATTTAGACGACGCTGGATGAATGCCATCGTATTAGATCTGAAGCAGACTGGACTACTCTTAATCCTGAAATCTCCAATGGGATTTTCACATATTATTATTTTGACCAAGGGGAGCCAGTTAATTACCAAGATGAAAAGATGTGTCGAAAATAGGATCAGCTGCCTCTAACACGTATATTTTGACACCAAATTTGGTCATTTTATCATATTATGATAAGTGGATAAAACTTGCCATTTTCGAGTCAAACCTGGTGGCCATTTTGGATTTTGGACAATTTGACCCATGTACGGATTTCGGACTTGGACTTTTTTCGGTGATAATATACGTCTTAAAAGACCATAAACCGTGATCGGCATTTCTATTGCAGCAACTGCCCGGAATGGTGCGAATAAATGGAGTTAAAGTGCCTGGACTATTTGTATTACATATTTTTACACTATTTGCGTATGTGGAGCGGCCATTTTGTCGGGCAGTTTCGGTCCTATTTTTGCAAAATTCGAACTCAACCATCATCAGGGTAGTGGTCATACATTTAAACGATGTTTAAAATCGGATAAAAATTGTGGCCTCTAGAGGGTCCACACGCTAAAATCGCAATTTTTTCGCATATTCAGGAGCCATAATCCAGGAAGTTAAAATTCGATTTGCGCGAAAATCGACATCAACCGAGATCTTTGGGATATAAATACGTGTTTAAAGTTTCATCAGAATTATGACCTGGATGTTACATACTTTAAAGCTATTTGCGTACAGGGAGTCGGAATTTTTCCGGCAGTTTCAGTCCGATTTTCACGACATTTGTACTCAACCATCATTATGGTGTAACGGTGATATACTATTCAAAAAAAGTAGGGGATATTTGATTTTTAAGTGTTATTAAAGTCACCTAATGAAACTAACGAAGAAACAAATGACAAAATGAAATGAAGTTCACATTCATCGATTTATTCCAAATGATCGTTAGACTAAGTAAGGCACAGACTGACCATTATAAGGGTAAAATGATACCCGGGGTCAAACAGCAAAGTTACCACAGCATCACAACCAAGTCAGTAACGTGTAAATCCTCCTCTGTTTGCCAAACAAGCATTGATCCGACGTGGCATACTCCTAATGAGACGTCTAAGGTCATTTTGGTCCAGATTGTCCCATTCCTGTTGCAACGCAGCAGCAAGTTCTTGGACATTGGCAGGACGTTGTTGACGTTGACGTAACCTCTGTCCAAGCATGTCCCAGACATGCTCGATGGGGGAGAGGTCGGGACTCAGTGCTGGCCAAGGTAATGTGGTGATGTTCTGTTGTTGGAGGTAACCTGTAACGATCCTGGCCCTGTGACATCTTGCGTTGTCATCCTGGAAGATGAAACGGCGGCCATGACGTCGTGCGAACGGCACAACATGGACTGCCAAGATGTTGTCCCGGTAGTACTGGCCTGTAACACGCCCTGCAACAACATGTAAAGCCGTTCTTCCAGCAACAGTGATGCCTCCCCACACCATAACAGAACCACCCCCAAATCGATCATGTCTGATGACGTTAACGTCTTGGAAGCGCTCGTTTCGACGAGGCCACACCCTCCTACGTCTGTCCAAAAAATCAACAGTGAACCTTGACTCATCTGAAAACATCACATTGCTCCAGCGTCGATTATCCCAGTGTTGACGATCCCTACACCAACGACGTCTTGCCTGAATGTGATGATCTCTCAAACAAGGGATCACGCGAGGAAGTAGGGCGCGAAGGTGACCCCTATGCAGTCGATTCCGAATCGTCTGGCCACTCACTCTCACACCAGTGTCTGTTTGAAGACGAGCGCTGATCTGATTTGCTGTGATGACACGATTTCTCAAGGCCAAGGTACGGATAAATCGATCCTGGGCTTGAGTTGTCGCCCTTGGTCGACCTGAGCGTGGTCTGTCCTGTACAGATTGTGTATCACGGTATCTGGACCATAGCCTGCTTATGACAGACTGAGAAACATTCATCGTCCGCGCCACAACCGCCTGTGTTGTGCCGATCTGTAGCATGCCAAGGGCACGTAACCTTTCATTTTGGGTAAGCCGACGCATATCAAAATTTGTTTTCTGGTCACTAAAACAATTAAACTGATGTTTCCACCCTGGAATTCAATGCCACAATGACTGTAACATTCAAAGTCAGAGTCGTGCAAATCTTGGGTTGGACCCCCATGATGATCCCAAGCATCACCTGCATTCCATGCGGTAGCTATTGGTGCCTTTGAGCGTCACATGTAACTGGAAATGTTTCTTCTGTTAGGTTCTATAGTGACTTTTTTCGTAGTCATTTGCATATTTTAGTATTATGCCCCCAAAATCAAATATCCCCTACTTTTTTTGAATAGTATATATATATTCGAATGTTGTTTTTTTTAAATGGGATAAAATCGGATTAAAATTGTGATCTCTAGAGGGTCCACAACCTTGATATACCATACTTTTACACAATTTGCGTACGAGGAGCAGCCATTTTGTCCGGCAGCTTCGGTCCGATTTTCACGAAATTCGAACTCAGCCATCATTATGTCATAATTATGGTGTAACGGTGATATATTCGAACGGATAAATCGGATAAAACGTGATTTTTCGTACAATCAGGGGCCAAAATCCAGGAAGTTACCGTCCGATATTTGAGAACATCGAAAGGAACCGAGATATGTGGGTTATAAACATACATTTCACGTTTAATCAAAATCGGATAAAACTTGTGACCTCTAGAGTGTCGGCAAGCTAAAAACGTGATTTTTCGTACAATCAGGGGCCATAATTCAGGAAGTTACGGTCCGATATGTGCGAATATCGAAAGGAACCGAGACATGTGGGTTATAAACATACATTTCAAGTTTAATCAAAATCGGATAAAACTTGTGACCTCTAGAATGTCGGCAAGCTAAAAACGTGATTTTTCGTACAATCAGGGGCCATAGTAAATGAAAGGAACCGAGATATTTGGGAGATAAACCAACAATTATTTCAAGTATCGTCATAATCGGGTAAAAATTTTGAACGGGCGGACAAGGGCGACGACACCATACGTCTATAGGCCTACGTCCAAATGAAAATGTGTGCGTATAAAAATTGTTACTTTTTGTATAATCAGGGGCCTTAATACACGAAGTTACAGCCCGATACATGCCAATATCGAAAGGAACCGAGATCTGTGGGATATAAACCGATATTTCAAGTTTTCGTCAAAATCCGATATAAAATTGTGACCTGTATAGTGTCCACAAACACACTGTGGACGGATGGACTGGGGCGACGACAATAGAACAGATGAATTATGCATTATGCATTCATCATATTAACACAGATACAGAAATATCCCCCTAGAAATATCCTAACTTCACCAGAAGGGGTTCACCGTGAAAGAATACATACTGCTCTAGAATGGTTAAACTTTTGACTTTGTAAAGAAGAAACCTTCTGTCCGAAGTACGCCAAACTAGTGTAATTAATACAATAGTAATAAGACTAATTGTATTATTTTATAGAATCACCAGAAGGGGTTGACCGTGAAAGAATGCATACTGCCCTAGAATGGTTAAACCTTTGTAAAGAAGAAAGAAACCTTCTGTCCGAGGTACGCCAAATTTTCTTTTATTATTGTTTAAAAGCCATTAGGTTCATCTGGATTTTCCGACGTGGTTTCCTCTTGTCAGTGGTGCAGGATGGAGGACCTGGCAAGGACAGCTGTCTAGTCGTTCGGATGTGACGATAAATTGAGGCCCCGTGTACACATTAACGTGCACATAAAAGATCCCTTGGCAGTTGGAATTCGATATAAGTGTAGGCCATAGTGCCGCTTTCCGGACAAAATTTCCCTTATAGCACACTGCATGGCGTATGCCCGTCTTTATTAGCCTATAAGAAGGGGCAAAACAGTATGACGTCTAACCCCATTTCATTTCATTTATAAAACAGGTTATTGCGATTTGAAAATTTGCATCTGGCATACATCTAGATTTCGAATAATAATTTAATGTATATTCCTAACACATCGTTAAATCTACACCCATCTACATCCACAGGGATTAATCTACATCCACAGGGATAAATCTACACCCATCTACATCCACAGGGATTGATACAAGTAATTGTTTTTACGAGATTGCATGTGTAAGCCTACGTATAGACAAAATTGCTTAAATTTTGGACCACGTATACAACGCCTATACAATGTTTTCCCAGAATTACTGAAGAATCTGAGAACTATACAGTCCAAAACTGATTTATAAGGGTCTTAAAAAATATTGCTTAAATTTGGGACCACGTATACAACGCCTACACAATGTTTTTCCAGAATTATTGAAGAATCTGAGAACAATACAGTCCAAAACTATTTATAAGGGTCTTAAAAAATATCCACTGAGTAATTTTATAAACATTTGTAAAACATTAAAGGTTATAGCACTGTAACGTTCAGTTCTAATCCTCGAAGCATACTATTAAATGAAATAATTTTTTTTAAAAAAATAAAAAATATTGCATAATGTCGGTTGAATGGATTCAAATTATCACTTTTGGCTTGAAACAATATCTTTTTTTCCTGGGCCATTGAATTAGATTTAAAGTATTTTCACAATAGAAACGAACTATAGGCCATGTATTCAGTATATTAATTTGTGACGACTGCTTTGTAGAATTGAATACGCAAACAAAATGACTGACGTCGGGTCTACTATGACGTCATCCATATTTTTCTCTACATGTACAATATTCGTTTTGTATATTTCGTTTTTGTAGTTAGATGAACTGGAATATGATTGTCAACACCAAGTTAATGAAACAACTTTTGCACTTGATGTTAAGAGAAAAGAAATGAAACGCCTTGAAGAGATAACTCATGAATACCATGATATGATGGTCAAAGATGAAGAAGATACCGGATTTTACGTCAGAGGAACAATAGCTTGTCAAAGTCTACCAACTTCAGGCGAACCGATGAGCGTTTCTGAATCTTTGTCGGATTTGGCGATTGATGAAGCTATTGATGATGCCAGTCATCTCCATCACTGCGCAAGACGCACCGATCTTCATCAGAATATAGATGATGATGAGTATTTAAGAACACAATCTGCTCAAATGGAACGAAACATGGCAGAATATATGAGGGATCTCAACTTAAGTCCAAATGGCGCTTTGGGAGAAGATGAAGATGAGAATGAAGAAATTAGTGATGTAGAAGGAACACTGTATTCTGATACCGAAGTCAACCTTCAAGATGCTGCGTTAGAGTTTTCAGAGCTAAGAACCACAGATCAAGAAAATGAGAATAAATTCAAACAGCCTGATGATAAACCGACAGTGTTTTCTAAATTGGCAAAAAATGTTGCAGGACCAAATCTTCTTGGAAAAATTGGCCGAAATATACCGCATATGATGGAATCAGGACACTTGGATCAAAGTTCTATAACTGGTAGGATTAATACACTTGTATAAGTACAATTTTATCTTTGTTCTATTCCACTATCATAAACGATAACATTCTAAATTCTCTAGCCCTCTAATTACAATTTAGTTGTCATTTGAATTTATTATTTTTATCTTTGTTATATGTCACTACTATAAACGACAACATTCTAAATTCTCTAGCCCTCTAATTATAATTTAGTTGTCATTTGAATCTATTATTTTTTCCAAATACGACGGCAGCGCCCAAAAAATGAACTTTCATCACTTTACCAGATAGCGCCCGGTCGACAATCCGTGAAATTCGCTAAGAACTAAAATGTGTACACTGACTGATCTCTTGTATTATTCATCATCACACCTTATTAATAATTATCGTATATTTTTACAACATGTTATAACACAACTATCTGAATCGAAATCGATCTATGTATAAAATAGTAATCTGGCTGTGACGAGGGATTTTTGTTGAGTGGTTTATACATCAGGCCAGATAAAGAACTTGTTTTCTAGGCCAAATATGTAATAAAGAGAGAGTAAAATAGGGTTAAACGTCCACTCGACACAATCCAGGTTATTTCGGGACTAACACATGGTTCAATTTTATTTCAATAATTCGCTTGCGCGTAGGGGTCTTAAGCAGTGGGAGGAAATCGGAGGACTCGGAGAAAACCCACGAGGTTGGACAGGTACAATCACGTACAATCGGAATCGAAACCACGACAGTTGACTCAATGACAGACGTTATGGTACAGCGCGCACGTGCTAACCATTCGGCCATCCACCCACCTCATCCCCCGATTGTAATAATAATATACAGCAAAACAACCTAGTTCATTCGGACAGAAACGGCATTTACGATTCTCGTAATTACCAAAAGTATCGATAATGTCATCCATGTCATTTTCAATCACGGGATGGTAAATGCCTGGCAAAGCCGCAAGATTCACAAAATAACCAAAGTAAATCTCGAAAAGTAACTGAAATTAGCGCCTAGCGGAGATAATTTCTGGGACTGCAGTTTGAGTTTGGGAACTAGACGCCCTGAATCAAAATCAGAATCTTATGATCTTCTGAAACCCCGAACTCCGGTTGGGAATTGCACCCCCCCCCCCGCCCTCAGCCCTTTCCACCACACCACTGAATGGGGATGGAATAATTTTAATATTTCTCCTTTAATATCCACTGACATTTTATTTTTTGCATCATTTGGCCACTGCCCCCAAAATTTAATGATTGCCCCCCAAAATCGTTTTGCTCGACTGTGTAGTGTAACACGCCTGAGTGTAACACCGATATATCGTTAAAGTTCACGTATTTATATGATTCATGGTTTATTTATAATTGATTATTTTGTCAATAGATAATTTTGTTGTCCGATATGAAAATATCTGTCCGTCCGTACGTCTGTCCGTCACACTTTTTGGGACACAGTAACTCTCCTTCTAATTGAGCTAGAATGTTCAAACTTGGTGTCGGTGTTTAGTAGGGCAATGCCTTGGTGATCATTTTCTGCTTTGGGTAAGCAGATATATGCGATTTGATTGGTTGGTGCTTTGGGACATGATAACTTTATTTCTAATTAAGTGAAAGTGTTGAAACTTGGTGTATAGTTTAATACATCAATACCTTGACTAAGTTCGACTTTAAGCAATTTGATTGCTCGAGACTTTGGAACACAATAACGCTCCTTTTATTTAAGTTGGGATGTTCAAACTTGGTGTAGGCGTTCATTAGGTGCCTTGATGGAGTTTGATGATGAACATTGTCTACTTACGGTAAGGAGGGATAAGCAATCTGATTGGTTGATGCTTTGGGGCACGATAGCGTTGGTTATAATTAAGTGAGAGTGATGAAACTCCGAGTAATAGATTCATTATATCATTACCTTGACTAAGTTCGACCATGAACATTTTCTGCTTAGGCTAAGGAGCGATATGCAATTTGATTGGTCAAGACTTTGGAACATAACAACCCTGCTTTTAATTGAGGTAGAATGTTTAAACTTGATGTAGATGTTCATTAGGTGAATGTCTTGACTGAGTTCAATGATTAACATTTCGAGCTAAAGCTAAGCAGAGCTAAGCAATTTCATTGGTCGATGCTTTGGGACAAGATAACTTTGATTATATCTGCTAGAGAGTGATGAAACTTAGTGTATAGTTGATAATCAGTTTGATTTCTTGAAAAAAAATGAATGTGCGATTACTTAATATGTGTCATCTGTTTATTTCGGGATTTCCGCGGGGGACATCAGCCTCACTGTTGGCCTGGTTACTTTTGAGAATCTTGAACAAAATAAACTAAATGTCTATTTGCGTTTTTTATATTTGCAGATAAGATTCGGGGACGTTTGGGTTTGAATTTAGATAGAACTAGAGGTGGAAGCCACACTGAAATTAAAAAAGGAACAGGCGTTCATGCTACTGGCAGTGGAACGTTTTCTAAACTAAAGAAGAAATAAACTAAATCTTTAATTTTTCTAAGTTAAATCACAAGAGATACAGCTGAAAGGAAATCCTGTTTATTGTTTATTGTAGTTTATGTTTCTGTTACCCATGTTTTGATTATTTTCGTATTTTGATTATTTTCACATTTTGATTGAAATAAACATTTGAGATAATTACCCTGAATGCTTACATTCTGTAATATAAATTAATATTTACAGTAGTCAGTTTAAGTTACACTTCTAATACCATCAGTTACATTTATGGTGATAGACATTTTTCTTGAATTGTTGGAAATTAACAAACAGACCTGAACACGAGTTTCGATCACGACAATTCGAATATCCCGGGGGGTCTAAATGATGAACCAAATATTTCAACGTCTTTAAATTGGAAGAAGAGTTAATTATTATTAAATTATTCTTCCTAAAGAGAGTTCTTTATTTCGCTCTAGTCTAAAACTACAAATCAGATGATATTTATTTCTAAAATTTTGCATTTATATATTTACTTCCGCACCAAATTACAAACATTTCTCTCACATACTTAAAAGGCCTTATACTGGCTTCTGGTTTGTGTCACAATCAACCTTGTAGGCCTACCCATTCTTTATATTCAGTTTTTAGTAGACATTAGATTGTAACACGGACGTTCACAATCTCATATATGTAAATCTTAAATTAAACCAGTACTTCCAAAGACCATTTAGTTGTTTTTATCTGCAGTTCAAATTATTGAAAATATGTTTTGACTAGCCCGGTTGACACGGTGTTGCACGGGTAGTGTTCTGAATTGGAAGTAGTACCTCCTGGATAGCGAATCAGCGCCTCACTTTTTTTCACAAGTAATCGGTGTGAATTAATCTTTGAAAGAAGAATTATACGTACGTACTATTTGAAGCAAGCACTAACAATGCAATGAGATCCACCTCGGGATTTGCAGACTTGATCCCCACAGCCCAGCTTAGCCATGAGCCAAATGGGCCCAGGTTCAGGGTCCAGTGGTTAAGGGGGTCCGCAGTTCATGGAAAAAAGATAATAATAAAAAAAAACTATTAAATTCCAGATGAAAGTTCCACTCATCCGTCTAGCGGGCGGAGGTTAGGAGATTCTGAGATCCCTCAACCTTCTTGTGATTGGTCGAAACCCGTGACGTAGGCGATCGCTCGTATGCTAATTATGAGTAGCTTTTCATAGGCCCTCACAAGCTACAAGAACGTTGCTAAAAACGTTGAGATAAATTGTGGTGTGTTTGATTTTAGCTACGATTGGGTGCCTTTAGTTTCACCTTGCAAACTTAAAGGGACTATCCCGATTTGAACAGAGTCTTAAAAATAAAAGTCCGAGTACGTATGGAATTTAAGCGTTAAAATATAGAGGAGTGATGTATCTACACTGTCTCAATATTTCAGTTCAAAATATTGAGTCGTTTGGGCGTGAACGTCAAAACTGCTTATCCGGACACGTAACACTTTTAAGATTTCGGGTCAAATTTTTCGTTGGGTGATCTGATAATCGATTCCCGTTCCTTTAGCGGTCTATACAATGAATGCAACATGTGCTGTACTTGATAACGAAAGGTAAATTTCACCTACACATTATTTTTATAAAATAAAAGTCTGGTTTTATCCAGACACCGCATAATACAACTTGGGACACCGGTCTCAATTGCCAGATGGAGACTGACGGATTTAAGTTGTTTGAAAACGTATCACGTAAATTGAGTTAGTTGCTCGGCCAAAAGGTAGATGATTTCAAGGGATTTTAACACAAATTTATTCTCCAAAATATTATCAGGATTGGCCCTTTAAAGGACAATATCGGTGCCAGTCATTATCACATATGTGATAGAGCTGTTTAAACACATTCCAAATATAATTTTAACACAGAGATCATTGCTACGATAGCTGAGTAATACAGGTTTCCTGAATCGGAAGTGACGAACGCCAAAGGAAAACAGGAGTCATGCCCCTATATAATTGACTTATGTGAAGAGTGATAACAGATACACGGCCGAATTTCTGCCCACTAATAATTCCTTCGAAGACCAAAAGTTGTTATACGGGACTGTAAGAGGATGCCTGACAATTCAATAAAGTAATTGAATGTCATTAGATAAGAGAACACGAGAAAAATAGAAATAGTCCGTACATTCCCTTGTTTATATTCATTCTAATTTATAATTTAAAAAGATGGTAATGCACGGACTTTTTCTGTTTTGCTTTCGTGTCCTCTTATCTAGTGGCAGTCAATTCTTTTTATGAATTGTCAGATATCCTCTCACAGTCTCACAAAACAATTTTTGGTCTTGGAAGGAATTATTAGTGAGCAGAAATTCGCCCATGTATCTGTTATCTCTCGTCACGATGCCTCGTGTTTTTCTTTGGCGTTCGTCACTTCCGATTCAGGAAACCTGTATTACTCAGTTGTCGTAGCAATGACCTCTGTGCTAAAATTATATTTGGAACGTGTTTAATTAGTTCTATCGCGTATGTGATAATGACTGACACCAATATTGTCCTTTAATTTAGTTATTTATGCATGTAACATCTTTCAATAAGTTATTTTTATACTATACTATTAGGACTAATTAAACATATCCAGCCGAATGTAATGAAACAACTTTCGTTTATCTGCAAATATTGTCAGGAGTTTTTATCAAAATTGATACGGACATTCATTTACGCACCTGTGAATAGATTCCCTATTTGACCATGGTCCGCATACAAAGGATATCTTAAGTCTTAGATAGTCACTTAATTTCACTTAAATATACGTAACTTCCTATAAGTTAAGGGTAAGTGGTATTCAAAGTCAATGTTAGGTATCAGATTTTCCCTTAAAGTTAAAGGACAATATTGGTGTTAGCCATTATCACATATGTGATAGAACTGGTAAAACACGTTCCAAAAATAATTCTAACACAGACCATTGCTACGATAGATGCGTAACGAACATTTAAAGAAACGAAACTGACGCAAAAAATGGAAAACAAGAGTTATCCTTCTATATAACCGACCGAAGTAATGAGCGATAACAGATACACGGCCGAAAAGTTGTTATATGAGACTGTGAGAGGATGTCCGCGCATTACCATGTTTTTATTGAGTATAGAATGAATAAAAACAAGGGAATGTACGGGCGATTTATTTTATTCATTCCCATATATATATATTTTAAGTTAGCTACGGATGGGCAGTAGTAAAGATTGCAACATGTTCTTGTCTTGGTTTGTATATAAATGTACAAATATATGATGATGACTGCTGGCCAAAACGTAGCACCGATGATTTACAATTAATTTCTGCCACACCCAACAACAATTAAGGATAATAATCCTACCTGAAATAGGTACAAATCACCGTATTTGAAATCGAGGCGTTATACGCCGTGTCTAGGAACGCCAATTTAAAACCTCCGTTAACTCCGGTTCCCCACAACTCTGCAATGAAAACTCTACACACTCTTCGAACGACGCCATTTGGAGAATTTCTTTCTAAAAGTTTAAATAAATAGTAAACCGGTAGCCGCATGACAATTGTATGAGTGTAGCTACATATCACCATGGACAGTATTTACGTTGTGCCCGTCTAGAAAAATGTAATTTCTATTTCAAAGGGAGATAATTCTGCTATAAATGAAATGGAGTTTAACGTCCTACTGTTCTCCTCCTAAACTGGGCTAATGAAGACGGGCATACGCCATACAGTGTGCTATGAGGGAAATTTTGCCCGGGCAGTGGCGCTAGGGCCTACTCTTATATCGAATTCCAACTGCTAAGGGATCTTTTACGTGCACGCCAATATATACACGGGACCTCGGTTTTTCGTACCATCCGAACGACTAGACAGCTGTCCTTGTCAGGCCCTCCGTCCTGCATCACTGACAAGGGGAAACCACGCCGGAAAATCTGGATGAACTTTCTCGGCCAATGCAGGAATCCAAAATTATGTTATAACTTCGCGATAATTAGTTCCTAGTTCCTGTATATCATTTTTCAACATTTAACATTTTTTAACAGAACACGGTAAAGCTTTTAAAACAATTATTGATGAGCTTATTCTTTCTGAAAGACACTGAGGGACTTTTCACTTGGCCCACCTGTGAGAGATAGATTCCCGTAGCTAACTGTTTATTGTTTATCTTGACATCCAGGTTGTTTTCGTTTGTTTTGTTTTTTCACGCCGTTGTAGATCAGGACATTCAATATAATGTTATTTAAAGTATAGCAGCGTGACACAATCTGTAGACACAATGCACACCCCTGAAAACATCAAATTTAATTAAATAACTACTCAAAGAGTACTGACATGTTTCGGTAAATCAGGTCACGCCTTGTCACGCCTTGTCACGTCTACAATCAAGTTACACCATGCATTATTAAGTATAGTAAGAGATACCTATTAAAGCCAAAAACTTGTCATTTTGAACTCTTAATAAAACTGGAAGTTATACTTTTGACCGAACTTTTTATATTAATTGTTAGTAAACATTAGGGTCATCATACATACAAAGGCCAAGCGTCATCATCTAGAAGGCATCGATGTGTTCCTTATTCCTACCTAGTTTCAACTTGATACATCAAATAGTGACGGAGATACGCCGTCTTGAATTCGAAAAAATGATGAAGAAAACTTTCGCAAATCTTTGATGCTAATATTAATCAAGCGAAGTTCCTAATTTCGAAAAACCGCCACTAAGTTTCAACTTGATACATCAAATAGTGACGGAGATGCGCTATCTTGAATGTCGAAAAAATGATGATGAAAACGTTTGCAAATCTTTGATGCTAGAACTCATCGAGCTAACTTCGTCCAACGAATCAAAATATGAAAACCCGACGAAGATCCGTTGAGAAATAAACGAGTTATGGGCAATCTGAGATTATTTTTGTCCCATCCGTAAAACACTTCGTGTTTCTCAAAAATGACCCATTTTATATTTAATAAATAGATCCACATCTACGTCGACAGAATGTTTGCACCATTTACAGTTTTGGCTGCACAAACTGACTAAATCCCCCATCCCCCTCAAAAAAATAAAAAAAAATAAAAAAAAATAATAATAAAAACACTTACAGAAACAATTGGTGTTTCGACCGAGTAATTAGTTATTTTAATAGTGGACTAATACCCACTTATTGTTGTGTTGTGTTTCAGATCTTGTGAAGTTATACTTGCTGTGATGGAATTCGATTAAATTTAATCGATACGTTTTAACACTGGTTAAAATATGATATAGGCGTGTGGTACCAACGTTGTCACGTAAACAACATTCCGGTTAATTGATGAGTCATTTCTGGAGATACATAAGTTTCAAGTTACTTTGCCCGCCTACGTATATTTTATTACAATAGGTTTTTAGAAAAAATCAATAAAAACATTTCAGTGCATTTTTTTTAAAGAAAATAATAAATTGATTAATAAACTTGTTTTTAATTGTACAAGCTATTATTCATTTACATAACCAATAGCACATCATTTTGTCATGCAGCAGACTTAAAATTCATGATGATAAAGACTTGAGAACATGGAAAAACAAATTATAAAA